GGTCATGGACTATGACGTGTGTTGAGGTCAAGAGATAATAAACTGATGGAAATAAGGAGTGTAAGAATGGCGTAAGGATCAGTCAACATCATTTTCTTCTGATGGAAAGAGGAATCTTAGATCAAATACATTGAGAGCAGTAAACATGTTTGACTACTGTGTGATTATCTGTCATAGTTGATAATCAAATTGTCTTAACGTTTTATTTTTAGTCGTAGCTTTAACTGCCTTAATGATTATTATAATGAAGTCGAAATACCAGGAACTAGCCAACGATAGATGGCCAAACATGCTGTGATGTTGCATAATTATTGCGTCCGGCAAAAAGAGAAGTGTGAGATGCTGATTAAATCTCTGGAGCGGACGGGGATGCCACAGATGATTTTTTTTTTTAATTTCAGCTTCAACACAAGTGGGAACACCCTGATAATCTTTTTGTGCGTTCTCTTTGCAGACAGAAAATGAGGAGTGTGTACAGTACTAGCCAAAACTTCGCGCAAGGGGGGAGTCGGTTGACCGAAATGTCTTGAAATTCCATGGATGTGTTCCTGCCTCGACGAAGTTCCTCGCCATGAGAGGTGGATTGACATCCATCGCCCCTCTGACGGAGGCAGTAAGCGCCTCTGAAACGTCCGCTAATGTCTACCAGACTGCACGACGCAACGCCTCAGAAAGCAATCTCATCGTTAAGAATTGTGCAATGTTTCGGCAAACATTGCAGATGCCATCGTCAAGGTGAATATGCAACGGTTGGGTGATTTTTGAAGCGTTGTATAGGGTAGATGACAATAGATGGCGACTTTCAAATTCGTCCAACTGCTATACTTTCACCCTGAAGATAGCTACAGATATGTTAGTCGAAAGGATGGATAATTCTCGACATTCGACGCCGATCACCACCAAAACCGATGTTAGACATCCCAGAACGCGGCATATCAGGCGTTCGTTTTGTCTTATGTGTCGATAAAGCCTGCCCAAGTTAAAATAATTTATTTCCCAACCATTCTTGTGCAGTTTTATGAATATCGTCGAAGTAGGGACTACTATAAACTAAATATTTGTAAGCTAGAATATCAAAATTCATAGTTTTTGTTTTTTTTACAATGCATTTAATGTCGTCGTTGCAGGATGGAATCCTCGAGAGTTTCCGAATTGATAAATACGTGTACTATTTGGCACAAGGCAACGTGTGTGTGTGTGTGTGTGTGGAACCTAATCAGGTTCATATTTGGGCAAAACGAAACTATTGTTTTGCGTTCTTCTGGCGGAAACGCGTGTTGCATAACATCCGGTCAGCTGTCCACACATGGATGAACCCATTCACAACTTCCAGTATGGATGGCAGCCCGCCTGTCTGCATACATGCCGGGGGACTCTTCATTGCCTGACGGAGATTTTAAACAGAAAATTAAGATTCTCCAAATTTTCTTTATCAGTTCCAAGGTATTTTGGCTTGTTCAGGCCACTCAACTTTGTCCCATGTCTTCAGAGATCTTCATAAATCCCACCCTTTAATTTTGTGCTTCCAGTGTTTTTTCTACGTATATTTTATTTACCATTTTCGAATATTTTCCATTCAGTTTTGTCTTGATTTTATTGTCAGCTAATTTGTTCGATCTCTCGCTCTCATGTATATGCTTTGTTCCTTGTACATGTTAATCTTGTGGGTTGTAACGCCGTGTAGACAGACGTTTAGGAGGAACATACTGCCTCCATCTCCATCCCTGGTATCACGTAAAAATGATCCCATAATATATATGTCAAGAACTGGTTTGCCAGGTCGTGAAATCTGGTTTCCTGGTTTAGGCGTTTCTGCTTACCAGAACCAGATTAAGCTTACTAGCCTGTGAGTCAGGAAAAATGTACAAAATTTCAATTTGGGCTGGACCGTGTAGAAAAATGCTAATATCGAGCGAGTGTAACCCTTTAAAGCCGAAATTCAGTTCCAAAAGAGAAACATATCGTGTCTAAGACGACCGTCTGATGTGATATTGCGACCTGTAGTCTGGTAGATATTGACCGACGGTTCAGATATAGCCCTGATGAAGGAAGCAATAAGTTCCTCTGAAACATCTGTCAGTTTGTGACAGAATACACGGCGAAACATTCTAGAAGTCTGTAAGAACCTTAAATCACAACTCTTTGCCATTACGAAACTGGTTAATTGTTAATGCATGTAGAACGCTGGCCTTGTAATCCTGGGGGTCTCGGGTTCGATTCCCGGCGGTGCCCGAATTTATAACTTGTGTTGGGCAAGGCCGTGGTCTAGGCAACACGGAGTTTTCCTCCGTGGCATCCCAACAATTACTCCATTCACACACAGAAGAAGGCAATGGCAAACCACTTCTGGATCATCTGCCAAGAACGTATATGAACAGGTCCCAGTCCGAGAAAAGGATGGAAGGATCCTGTTCATATGGACCTGTCGTCAGACAGAACACTAAATAAATAAATAAATAAGTAGTTAAGTGCGGACACAGTGGAGTTTTAAAGGATTAGTACATTGTTGTGAACATGCAACAATGTAAAGTTTCTTTTGTGACAATGGTAATAAAACATCCTTTCGATTGTACTTAAAGTGCATGTTGTGGACATGAATTGTGTTCTGCATCCACTTAAGATTTGTGCATCCCTGAAATAAGGTGATGGCCTCCAATAAATATTTCATTAAAGAAGTCTCAGAAACGTTTCTGAGTAAATTACCCTGTGAATTAATGTTTCACTTCTTTTCATGGTCACTTTGAGCTATTCGCCACGAACAATGTAAACATCCCAGCTCGGCATTGTATGCTAACCACGCGGCATCAGTAGACCGAATTTCGATTTCGTTATCACGAGCTGCGCCGAAGGACAAATAATGAGAATGTTCATCTTCCCACAGCGGGGCTATCGTCTTCACAGACCGTGACAACGCCATACGTAACAATGCTTACGTCACAAACAAAAGAAATCTGCGCGCGAAGCACTGAGAAATAAACAAAAGAAGTGTAATAAAATAAGATGAAGGACACTTCCAATAACAACAATTCAACACTGAAACATCGCAATGAACGAATACAAGCGATTACCTAAAGCCGGAGAAAATTCGTGTGTTTGTGTCTCGTCACGTCGATGCAAGATAAAATTGTTACGAAAATGTGATAATTCGGAGCGACTGTGACAAAATTTTATTTCTGAAGCTAGAAGTGGATTAAATGTAGGTCGGAGGATAATATTTAAATTGATCTTAAATAAATAGGAATTCAGGACGTGGTAATGAATTTAAGTGGTTCAGAATGAAGTCCACACGGCAGCTCAGCATTTTTATTCATGGTTTCGTATGATTCTCAGTTTAAACAGGGATTCTTTCTTCAAACAGCATTTACCAACCGGTGATGTGTGGTGTTTTCTTTGAGGTACGGTTCTTTATGTTGGAAAATTCCACTGCAGACTTCAGTATACGAGAAGCGGAAACTTTCTGGACAGACGAGCATTTTCCATTCAGATTTTGGAAACGTCTGTGGAAGGTAATTGTTATCTAATCACTATGGTGATGAACTATAGAGAAAATGTTGTGCTTTCTATAACATCGATGACTTTATTTACTATCTCTTACAAGTATATAAATAATTGCGTACTTTCTGAGCATAGAAACTTGTGCAAAAGGGATCTTATCTCATACGCCCGTATGGCTCACGAAGCTTTGTCTCAAAATCGTCTCATGAGACAATATACATGGGGGGGAGGGGAGGGCGAACTATTCTACACGTTCCTCGCTACTGACGTGCTAGCGGTAAATCATACATCGTGCAATAAGAATGTATTTTAACGACCTTCAGTTCAAGGTCACTGAATAAATACTACGCAAGTCTTGTCTTCATTTCTCAGAAAGTAAGTGCTTCCTGACAGATTCGTTCTCTGAGAAGTCACTGGCGAAAATGTTCCCATATTTTAATATTTATTCGAGTATAAATTAAAAGCATGAGTAGGGAACTGGAGTCACACTGTGGTAACCATTGTAACCACTGAGCACGACAAGGCAGACGGACTACACACTAATATTTCCCCCACGTGATTCTGTAGTTCAGTTCGCGGAAGGATTGTCATCATGGTGTGGACTTTTCCCTGCTTTCGGCTGTTCCATGCCTTCATCATGTTTATACGCACACAGCACCTAACTCATGAATTCGATTTCAGAAGTAAAATGGCTTTTAAAGTCGACGAAAGTGAATTATACCCATTTGTGTTACTAATGTGTTATCAGGATCTGTCTGAGGACTCGGTAATTATGCTTTGAAGTTCGATTACAAAAAGATCCGTCCAATTCATGGAAGTTTCATTACGCAGGCAATGTTAAGATCAAGTGTTGTTACTCCTACGCCGAAGCCCCAAAAAGCTTCCTTCCATATTTATACGCGCCACGCGTGAACTGTTACTGTTACCTAATGTGTGCGACTAGGGTGGGGGAGACAATGAATGCATTTAGAATTTTGATGAGGAAACCTCTAAGGAACAGAAACACTGACGACCGAGGAGGTGATATGGGGATAACTTCGAGTAACATGGGATGCGAATCTCAAGAATAGAAATTCAATCTGATATTAAAAGATGACTGATTTTGTTAGCGAAAATTATGTAGTAATATGTTAGCATGTTTATAACAGTAGGGCTATTATTGAACTTCCGTGATGTTTCAATACATTGTCCTCATTCATAGCCTGGAAATTGTCTTTCGTATCATGTTGGACTGTGAAATTCTACAAATGTTTTCCTAAACAAAATTAAAATTCCCACCGACAACACACATTTTTGTGATATCTACCTACAAGACTACATGATGTCACAACACAGAACTTCGGATCTCACTAGTAGTAAAACTTGTTACCGACTGAACATCGTCTACCTACCACAGATGTGTATTTCTCTTTCTTTCATTGATGGCAGCACGTACAACATATAATGTTAAGTTGCACGTCTGTGTGTTGGAAGTGCGTGGTAGATATATTCTGTGTAATTTCTTGGTTATCGATGTTGGTATTGTGTATGTCGGTGTTGGTAATGTATGTGGTCGTGGTTGAAAATGGTTAATGGCGTTGAATGAATTTATCCTGTATTCAAAAATAGTACATTCGTAGTAATTGAAGATGTCAAATTCAAAAAATGAAATCAAATGGAGTGGTATAGCGCTACGAATTTTTATGAATACGGTTGCACATCCTATGGAATACGCCAAAGTTTTGATTCAGGTTAGTTACGAATTTGTTCAACTTCTTGTCTCATAATTATCTTCATTGCAAAGAATATTGTTTAACCTGTATGCTGTTTTTTGTGTGGTGGGTATCGAAACGTACTGAGTAACATACATTTTAGCTTGCATTTCTACACATTGTAACATTCGGGATGAGATTTGGGATTGAGGTTAGGGACATTATTCAACTTCAAGCAGTGAAAGCTAATTATATCCAGAAATGTCTGTCCCTGGTCCATACAGCAGAGTCTTACCATCTTGCATGTTATATTTTTAACCGGAGAACCAGCTGCAAAAAATATTCACCACCAATGTTTAGAGGAATGTTATATTAATTTACCAACATTTCAGTTTGTTGTATTTGACCTCCACGAATGTAAGTTATTCCATATATCAGTGACTTATTGTATGTAACATTCGTTTGCCTGAGCATTATAATACAGTTGCTCCATTTTTTCACCAATATAAGTTAACAGTTTACTTCACTAAAGGAAATTAAAAGATAATTCAACAAAAAAGTGTAATAATGGTGCTTTGATTTGTAGGTTGAAGTGATATGAGTGCTGAGATATTACTTCACATTATGCCATGACTGCTTCCTTCCACATCCTTTCCAGTCTTTTGTTCATTAATCAACATATCATTTAGTGATGTATATTTTAAAATGCTGATTTTACTAAATAATCTACAAATAAATAAACATGTCGTGGAGAATGGTGCACTGCTTGTGATGAATCCTTGGGTTCTCATATTCACGTGGAGTTGCTTTTGTTTATATTTACCGACAATATTTCAGATTGGACACGAACCACTTCCACCATATCCCACAACAACACTGTTAGGCAGACGAATACTTGCTCTGCCAAATGTCCTCAAATACTGTAAGTAGAATGTAGGTACATCTGATTTGTAGACATGTATGTCACTGATTGAACTTTTGTTCCTTTCCTTGTTAGCCATATTTATAAGGTCTACCCCATTAGGTCCCCTGTAAGATATAGAACATGTTTCCTTACCAAAAGTCATTTCAAGAATGAAGACTCACAAATGGTCTTTAATCTTTATATTCCACTCATCATGGTTTACACTAAATCTAAGTGGCTTTGTGTCACATCAGCAAACCAAAAACTCTGGAGTTAGAGTTCAGCCGTAACATGCCTCCTGTCACGCTTTTCAGAATCTTCTGTCTTCTCGTCTTATGTTTAAATCTACAAAACTGTAATTTTACCATTTTTTTTCATATGGGTGTGATACTTGGTCTCTTGTGTTAAAGGAATAACATGTCTTGAGGGTGTTTGAGTACTCCGTGCTGAATTAGGAGGGATGAAGTGATGGGAGGCTATAGAAAACTGCATAATGAGGAGCTTCATAATTTTTACTCATCAACAAATATTTATAAGATGATTTAATCAAGTTTTATGAGGTGGACAGAATTTTTATTGGAAAGCCTCAAGAGAAATGTTACTCAGAAAACTTAGGTGTAGATGCGAGGACAATATTAAAACAGATTTTAAATGAAGTCATATGGAAAGGGGAGACTGTATTTATCTTACGTAAGATAAGGCACGTAAATGAGCCTTTGGTTTTCGTGAAAGGTGGGGAATTTCTTGATTGTCTGAGTAACTGTCAACTTCTCAAGATATGTTCTGTCCTGTGCAGTTGTTTTTTATTGTATTTATTGATATCTGTTTTACCCAGTTCTTCTCTAATATCTTCATCACACTAATGATCCATCGCCATTCTCTATCCTGCTTCTGCTCAGATGAAATGCACTTATGCATCTTCATTCTTATTTGTTCTTTTGTTAACATCCAATATTGAGATCTATTTCAAAGTATTAGAGTGAAGAATTTTTAGTAGTTTGCTATTAATATTTACTTACTACTGTGTGTTTTATAGTTCCATGGAACTGTTGAACTGTGGAAGGCGTGCACACACGCTCATAGGGACCAACTCCTTTTATGTGTTTATTTTTTTCACATTTTTTAAAGACATTCTTTACTTTCAGTGGCTTACGTTAAGAATGTGGATGGATTTGTGGGTTGGTACAGAGGCTTGGGCCCAAAACTTTGTGCCAGTACTGTATATGGCATCACATTTGAGAGAGTACATGAGGTGATAAGAATTAGAGGTGGTAGAACTCCCGAAATAGATGAAAACACAACAGAGGAAGAAAGGTGAAGTTGATGATTAATAATGATGTTATATTTGTTTGAACGATCACTTTTGCAGTTTGTCTTAATCATTGTCTCATTATTCTTTTGTTTTAAATTAAATATGTCAAATTTTAATCATCGTATGAAGTCAAGTAAATGTTGAACAGGTATCTTAGCTCCCCATTTATTATTGACTACGCTGTATGCTTTGTAACTGTGTTGTAAACTGTATTACTAGTTTTTGATCGTACAAGTTCACTTAATGTATTAACAAATGTTGTATCAAAACATCACGCAAAACAAGGATTTGGGTGTTTTGCTGCAGTTTGATCTTGCAAGTGGATGCTGGTTGTATTCCTGACATTTCAGAGATATTTACCATCTCCTCCTGCAAGACAAAGGAAACGGAGGTAGTAAGGATCTCCAGAATATTGGCGAAACCCATGAACGGAATTTATATCACGGTTGACATTTGTGTTTTATATATACGAGGCGCGTCCCAAAAGTAAGTTTCCCACTCATCCCACAGCTAGCAAACCTTATATTGCGCGAAGCGACTGTGCATACGTGATAGAGCAATGATGTAGCATGGCGCATGCACTAACGGCACCTCCCGCGTTCTCACAGTAGCATCGTTGCAGCTGTTGAAGATGGAGGTTCTTATTCCAGCTCCCGCCGACTGTGAAGTGCGGTCAGTGATAACGCTAGGCCGCACACGGCTCAACGGACAGCGAGTCTCCTGCAGGAGTTCAGCTGGGAGGTGTTTAATCATCCACCCTACAGCCCGGACCTCGCTCCCAGTGATTTCCATCTTTTCCTACACCTCAAGAAATTCCTGTCCGGTCAGCGTCAGCGTCAGCGTTTTGAGAATGACAGAGAGGCGGAGATGGCTGTCACACAGTGGTTCCAATCCCAGGCGGCAGACTTCTACGACACAGGTATTAAAAGTTGGTCCCACGGTATGACAAATGTCTCAATTCCGGTGGCGAATATGTTGAAAAATAGCTAGACACTTGCTGTATCTGTTGCAATAAATATTTCCATGAAATTGTGCTTTGTTTCTGTAAACGGCCTCAGGGAAACTTACTTTGTGGACGTAGGTCGTTACCGACGTTTCGGGTGATAAAGTATAGCCTCCATGTTCCACCAGGGATAGTCCTGAGTTAAAATCTTTGCCACAGCAATGGCTGATGATAAATTAAACTAATTTTACTTACTCTATCCAAGACAGTCTGGGGTTAGACTTTATAATGCATCTCCAATCACATTTTGTTATAAAGTTTGTACATTTTTTATGTATGGTTGTTATTTAATGCCCCTACGTGTGGTTTTTCATGACCTTATCTGAGCACTATGAAAAGAATGCTTTCGTGAAATTTCTTCCATTTTGTGATCATCCAATGTACATGCCTAGTAATGTGAATTATGTATGATGTGTGAGGTTCTCATAGTGGTAAATATTTGTGTTTCCCGTTTTCTTCAGGCAAAAGATTTTTGTATATGACCTCTCTCAGAATGTTCTGTGTCGCACCGCTGCAATTATTGCCAGCCAGCCATTCAATGTTATAACAGTTCGCATGATGGCACAGTTTGTTGGAGGTGAAAATAAGTATTGGTGAGTATTTTAACCATTTCTTTTCTCATTAAGCTCATTTTACCAGCAGATAAGATATATGTATATAATAATTATAAATTTTTGAAATGATTCTCAGCTTTTTATTTGTTACAGTGGAATATTTAATTCGATAAAAGAAATTTTCCATGAAAATGGAATTCTGGGTTTCTTCAGTGGACTTGTGCCAAGGATTGTGGGGGAAATATTATCTTTAATTATTGCTTCTTCCCTCACATTTGTCATAAATTACTATTTTCTGGAGGATGAAGAGTTGAAGACTTACACTTCAGCATCCATGAATGTGAGTAGAAGTTTTTACCAGGATATGAGGACTTTGCCGCTTGTTACGCTGTTGGTTCTTGCAGTGGAAGAATGCCTTTAAAAATGTTGCCTGTTGAAATTCAAGTTATGTGGGAAATGGGTTAACAAGCGCATTGCCTGCTGATTACATGAAGTTGTATTCTTGTTTATGAAGATCTGCTAACGTACAGTAAAGGATTTGTTGTCTTGGGATATTCAATAGAAATAGATATGGCTCTTAATGTGGATTATGTATTCCTTTATATAGTGTTTTATTCAGTTTAGTTTTAAAATCCATCGTTACACAGACAAACTTTCAATCAAATGAGATTTCTTTGTTAATTTATTGTACTTAAAAGTGTATATTGAAAGTAAGTACAGATTTTTTTACTAGTTTAGTGTGGTACCTGCTTACAGGTACTCCTTGATATAAGATGTGATTCTGTTCTAATGCGCTCACTCATTTTAATGCTTGCTAGCAGATTGAGAGAGGCGGGTGGCAGGGTGGGGTAGAGAATATTGCGTGGGTAACAAAGAACGAATGCAAGAGGACAAGGGACAGATTTGTTTCGTCACCATCTGCGACTTCTTTTTCTTGAACACATCTGTTACATGAATTGAAGAGCACTTGTGTATGTCTTGTATTATGGAACAAGAGTAGAGATACAGTGTTTGATTGTTCCGAAATTGTGTTCGATGTGTGTGATGATATGTTTCAGTTCCTTGCTGGCACCATCACTTACCCATTCCAAGTGGTGTCGAACTGTATGGCTGTAAATGATTCAGGGTAAGTTATTTCAAGGAATCAGCCTTTTGTGTCATCAGGACGGGTTTGCAGCCCTGCTGAGCACATATTTTAAATCTGTCTGTCCATATGCATGAAACAGCTCAAGAAAAGATAAACCAATTTTCAATGTATGAATCAATAAGCTGTCATGGATAGCTGACATGGGGTCATCCTCCAGCTTGGGTATGAATCCTTTCAAACTTGTTTAATTGAAATCAGGGTTCAAACTACATTAATGTTTAATTTCATTTTTCCTGCAGACTGATAGCTGGAATTCCTCCGCAGATGCCAATTTACACATCATGGACTGATTGCTGGTCACATCTGTCACGTACAAACCAGCTTAAGCGTGGCTCCAGCATTCTATTTCGTTATTACACAGGCACACAAATTGTTATTCAAGGTCGTCCTATTGCAGTTAACAAGAATAACTTCCTACATAGTAATTCCTAGAATTTGACAATGGAAAGATATGTATGTGTGGACGTGTGTGCGTGGGAGACTTTTCTTTGATTCTGGTGGTGTCAATGTGGATACTTACAGTATGCATAAGTATCTGTAAATTTGAATCAGTTTCACATAACATGCTAGAAATATGTTTGAGAATAATTATGTGATTATGGTATAAGTTGTTTGTGATTAAAACAATATTATGAATAAAAATTCCACTCAAATTTAGAATTTGGATAGAATAATGATCATATCTTGTACTCATAAATAATTAGAATGCTGTATCAAAATAGAGTATGATTTTTTTTGTGAATGAAAATTATGACTGGTGGAAAGATGATTTTGTGCAATGTTAAATGCACCATATCTTAACTATTTTAATTTTTTATTCTCTTCAGTAATATTATATGGCGTATAACATTTAAAAAAATGAACAAATTATTAGTACATTGGTTCATCTGCCTTATGTAACTACCATTTCTGCTTAAACACAACATCAAATACTTTGTGCATTATTTGTGTACTAAATTAAGACGTAATTGGTTCAAACTGGAGGAATATAATTACATGGAATGCTGTTCACATAACACATGCCCTATTTTATATAATTTATACACTGTATCATATAAATGTATACAGTATTAAATGATTATCTTAATGAGATTTACAGATTTAATCTGAAGTTCTTTTTCAATCTGATGAATGTTTGAGAATTAGGTTTTCATGGTGGTGAAGATGATCGTCTTCGGTGCTGTGGATCACAACCAAGATCACCATCAACAACCCTGAAGTTATTTGTACCTTGAAGTAAATAATATTACCACTTAACTTGATATATTATTTACCAGTTAAGCCACTAAAATTATATGAGACATATTTTTTGCTATCATCAAACACTGAATAAGTTTAAGTGTCAACATACAGAGCTTTTAATGAAGAAATGGTGATGAAATTTACTTTAGTAAAAAATGACCTTTATACAGTTTTACAATTGAATTCTTGTATGCAAATTTCTATAAAAATGCACAGATAAGTAAAAAGCATACAATGTATAGCAGATCTCATACCAAAATCTCAGTCTGGAGCAGTTAACTGTGGCAGTAGTTGTCTCAATGAAGTTCAAAGTGTAATTGAAATACCGAGTGTCCTTATGTCTAGTTCTCTTTTTGTTCTTGCACCAGTAGGTTCTTGGATTGTTTTACTACACATAGAAGTACAACAGTACCTGGAAGAGATCACATGATTGTAGGTTCCAGTGTTTTGAAAGAAATGTGACTCCCAACATTCACAGTAATAATTATTATTAATACAAATGAAAAATAAATATCGCCAGAAAAATGTGCTTGGTAGTTCTTTTTACATTAAACAGTTGAACAAGTAACAGATTGTCAAGAAATGTTAGGTTTGCGATGTGACATGGAGGTGGTTGCTGTCTGGGATGTTACATCATGTAATGTGGTAGGTACTGACCGACATTTCAGAGTAGCTCACTGCCTCCACAATTAGGATCATCGCCGTCAGCTGATCGACTATGTCGCTGTCATGTTTGTGAATCACCAGAAAATTTTCTTTAAATTGAGCGCCATTATGTGATGCTCATTTGTTGATTTGTGGGATAGTTCAGAACTTTGCATCATGGGATATTGAATTTGCAACGCCATTAAGATTTAGAAAGGCGATGCTTGTTTGAGATATAATAGTTACTTGTCTGTCATTATTTAAAGGGGCAAATATTACGGATTGTGTTTTGTGAATATATTAAATCTTTTAATGTGATCTGTCCAGTATTTCATATACAAGTAGGGAAGTTCAGTAGAAGGAAACTCCAGACGTTTCTACTAATAGGCCTATATTAACCAGGAGCCAAAGGTATAATCCAGTAAGTCTAGTAACAGTTTTTGCAGTTCTAGTGTATTCATAATTTTTTTTTCGGAAGAAGAACTTTGTCTCATTTAATCAAGTATTTGGTTATTTCTGAATCAGTATTGTGGTATACTGTGGAAATATCATTTTGTATGTTTGAAATTTTATAAACTTCCTTTGTATGACATTTTGTACTTTTTTGTAATTCATAAACCCGTAATGTTTTTCAGTAATATTTTTAAATTGATTATATTGCTGAAGGTGGCCTATGTGAAGAACGTTTCTTTGTTGTGTAAATGGTGGTTATATACGGTTTCTCTGATAAGAACACTACTTCATAACACTTGTGACTCAGAAGTTATTATGTTAGTCCTGTTTCTGCTATATGAGAAATGTGTGAACATTATTAAAATTAACATGTTGAATATGGCAACAGGTTTAAAGAACCTTGTGAAAGATTTATAGTCATGTGTGCTAGAAATCAAACTAATCTTGATTGACTGGGCATTTTTTTATGCTTGTAATTGATTACTCTGCTGTGAAAAATAGCTTAGTTTTGGCAGGTTAGGTTTAACCCACTACAGGTTATTAAGGAGACTGCCATTCTATACTGCAGTACTTCATGAGACAGTAATAAGCTAGGTGATAGAAAAGATAAATATATATGCATCTCAGCCAACATTATTCTTTGTAGACTTTACTTTGCATTTTTAGACTCCATTTTTGGGAATCAGCCAGTGAAAAACAAATATGAATATTCCTTGATCTTATTATGTTAAAAATTTCTGATGAGCTGATAGTGATTTTTCTACCTGTTGTTTTGCCGTTGTAATGTGCTGTGCCGCAGGTTCTGAAGATGAGAATAAATAAAATACTAACATGGAAAATTTTGTATGGTGTTAACAAGAGAAATTGTTTACGTATGAAGTGCAATCGAATTTATCTCCAATTGCGTTGAACTGCTTATTAAAATATAAATGGTATTTTGTGTATATAAATGCTTCGTTGCAACATACTTTGATTAGTTCAGGTATAATATGCTTGTAATTGATACAAGGATATTTGTTTGATTTTTCAATTGAAATTGCAGCCTTTGTGGTACTTTCTTTTGGCTCTAACAATTCAGCATTTTTATATATTTTTTACTTTTAAATTCTGCAGCTGTCAGTGTTTTCTATTTTTCTGCAGCATCGCAAGAATCAGCAAACAAATGACCATTCTCGTTCTTCGTCAAACATTCTACATTATTTAACTTTGGAGCGAAAGGGAAGAGTTTATACTTTTAAATAAATATATATTATCCAAATAGTGGTAAACATCAGTACAGTTCACCAGTCTTTCAAAGTACACCGTGTTTAAAATACAGAGACAACCTTTAACAGAAAAGATCATAATTTATTATGTACTTTATTTCAGGTGGTACTAGTGTTATCAGCCTGCATTCAAGATGTTTTGGAAATTTAATCAATTTTCATCACCTCATATAGAGACTCTATTAAACAAAGAGGTTAGTTAGCATGTGTGTTTTGAAATGCAGTTGTATTGTCTCGTTTATCTTAAGAGTTAAACTAGACTTTTCGGATGTGCTTTTTTTCAGTAATTATAATATTGTGTGTGGAAATTTGGCAAACAGCAACATAAAACAGCTTACTTTATTGCCAGTCTCAGTTATGTAGGTTGTAACGCTGCGTGGACTTGTAAGTAGGTACCAACATTTTGGGGGAATATGCTACTCCCATTTTGCTGTTGGGGATTACAATTAAGGCCTCTCATATTGTATTACTTAGGAAATCCCATGGATGTTACATGTTTTTGATATATGTGGCGATTCACAGGAATGCTCTCCCCGCGTGTAATGAGAGCCAGCTGTGTACGGAAGGATTTTATACATAAGATTATGCCTCTGAAAGTCTCTGTGCTTCATATGTGTGTGAGACTGCGGCATGGTGATCTCTAGATAAATGTCATTTTTTTAAAAAAATATGTTTATACTTGTCTGAGGTAATTGTATTGCAGGATGTTACACTTCATGAGCTTATGGACGAGGAAGATTTGCTGCAGGAGTGCAAAGTTCAAAACAAGAAATTAATCGACTAGTGAGTACTGTGATTATAAAGATAAAGATTGCGCTATTTTGACATTCTTTCACGTTTTAAATACAAACTATTCCATATGATGTCTGATGAAGATTGTACTGTTACATTGTGCACACTTGGGAAAATAACCAAAACATGTTCAAGTAATGTCCTCCAAATGCAAAACCTTGTGCAGACAAACGTTGAAATTGCGCAGAATTTTGGTTATAGTTGCTACAGAAATGCAGGTGAGAGATTTTTCCTAAATCCAAGTTGTTCACGTGCAAGGATGTTGTTTGAGCTTAAAAAATCAGTCGCCCTTCTCAAATATTTTAGAGAAAGTTGTTGGTAATGGAACTGGTCTGTTGTTAGATATGCACAATTTTTCATCTGTTTTGTGTAGAGGTTTAACTTTTGAATATTTATATCTTTC